GTAGGCATATTATTATTTATGTAACATGTTTTGTGAAATATTTGTTTTCTGGAGTAGGTAGGTACAGGGTAAATAAATAAAGGAAAAAATATGTATAGTTTATATAATATTTATGAAGGTATTAAATATAAATTTAAACACCCGGAGCACCTCCTCTATATACATAGTCCTCTTGCCAGTCAACAGCTCCTTCTGCCGAGACGAAATATCTCGCAAGTAGATCACGCTGCTCGCCTACCGACTTCATAAAATTATTAGTACCTATTTTTCTAACAGATTTCAGCGTTTGGTTTGTACTTCTCCAGTGACCATCATACAAAATTCCATCTTCTCCAACATAATCTGCGAATCCAGTGGGACAATATTTTCTATCTCCAGCTGCAAGATCTAACTCGTTACTTTGCAGGAAATTATGGAGAACTATGGTAGCCAGAACAATAAACTCTGCCATTTCAACGCTGGCCTCAATTGGTCTTAGCAAAATTCTCCATCTTTGAGATAGAATCCCAAAACTGTTCTCTATAGTTCTTCTGCCCCTGGATAACCTGTAGTTGTAAATGCTTTTTTCTGGTCCTAAATGTTTTCCCGGATATGGGCGCATTATATGTTTATGCAAAGGGAAAGCTGCGTCAGCTGCTATATAATAAGGGAATTTTATATTTGAGTTCGGAATGAATGAAGCTGGGGGTATATCCAGTTGCTCAGTCAATAGTTTTTGGCCAAAGCCACTATCTTTGAATACAGTGCTGTCATGGTTACCACCTGCAGCCCCAACATCTATACTTGTAAATCTATAATATGAGTCACATGTTGCCATTAGAACTAAACTGAAACTTTTCTTATAGTTAAAAAACAGAGATCCAGAGTTTTTTGGTGCTTTAATATTGACATGTTTCCCATCGACTGATCCAATACAATTGGGCAAGTTCCACCGATTAAAATAACCATCTGCTATTCTTAGCCAATCTTCGTGCTTTAAGTCAGGCAACTGAGAAGAGCGAAGGACTTCCCATATCACTTGGCAAACTTGTTTAATGATACAATGCACTGTGGTTTTGCCAATTCTATAGGTCCACGCTATCTGTTGCATTGAACAACCATGAGCAAGGTAACTAGATAAAGGTCCTAATGTTAAATATGTTTCTAATAAAAAAAAGTGAATACTTACTGAATTGTTATGAGCAGTCTTTGTTCAGGTGAAATGGGGTTTTTGGATCTTTTCAACTTTGTTAAGTGAGGCCCTACTTCAGATAATAGAAACTTAAATAGTCCTGGCGTCATTCTGGTTAATTTAAAGAACTGTTCCCTGTCCCATTCTTTCTTTTCCATATCCTTGAAGACAGTATAGTAAAAACCTTCTTTATTCCTTGCCCTATTCATAGGTCTCACTGCGAAACGTCTCGAACGTTTGGAAGATTTGTATAAGGTAGTGATAACTGCATTTGTGCTCATTTGGAGCAACAATGAAGCAATAATAGCTACAATAATTGTTTTTTTCTTCTCGATAATCATTACTTACGCCAGCTCAAAAATAGATTTTGAATAGAACAAAAAAATCAGTTGTTTTGTGTTTGTGTTATGATCACCTGTTAAAAGTCATATATGTCATTCTTAAGGGTTATGGATAAATTTAAAAACCAATCTATAAACACAACATTTCCTTAAGGAAAAAGAAAACGCTAAAGATACGGATAAGGTTAAAGAAACGGAAAAAGGTTGGAACTATAAACCAGCCTTTAAACTACATAATATACCTCATTTAGGTACTTTATTGTTTGTAGTTTTGAATGTTTAGTTAGATACCTACCTATCTAATTTTTACATATGTAAATAGAAATTGTAGGTATACTACCGAGTATACTACAATAATTTCAATTTGTAGCCCAAACAGCCTTCCAACTCCAACAAACAAAATACTGAAATTGAGGACAGTGAAGACACATTACCAACACCAACGTCACCAACTGCATTCGAAAATCAAACTCAAACTGAATCAACTTATACTGAAAATCAACCCTGCTGCATCCGAACCTTGGCCGACAATGAAAATGAAAATATTGAAAATAATAATGGAGTCGAAAATAATATAAATAACGCGAAAAATACGTACCAAAATTTTGACACAGTAAGTACCTGCATTTTATTAATATTTTTGTCATTATTATTGTTTATTTTAGGAGAAAAACTCTACAACTACAAAACCACCAAAAACAAAAAGTCATCCATTAGAAAAAAAAAGGGAAATATTAAAATTTGTCCCTTCGTGGTTAAGTATTCCTAAATTTAGTGCATGGCTGGCAAAATCTGATAAAATTGACCGTGCAGGTAACGAATACGTATTTTGCAAAGTATGCAATACAGAAATGATTTCACATAAAAGTTTGTTGGTAAAACATGAAGCTACTGAAAAACATAAGGCCAACTGGCAAAAAGTGTCTACCAGCACAAAAATAACAGATTACAGTAATAAAGAAAAACAGGACCAACTAATAGCTGTGAAAAATGCTGAAATTAAATTGTGTGGGCTCTTAGCTAGTAATAATCTACCATTTTTGCTGATGGATACACTTTCTCCTTTACTACAAACAATTTTTCCAGATTCAATTATAGCCAAAAAATTAAATGTTAAAAGACTTAAATCTACTAATATTATGTGTGAGAGTTTGGGTAAAACATTTTTAGACAGTTTGTATGATATACTGAGACAGCCAGGTGTTTTTTTCTCAATTATATTAGATGAAACAACCGATATTTCCATTAAAAAACAATGCGCTTTCTCTGTTATATATTTTGACACAAAGGAAAGTGTTTTAAAAAATTGTTTCTTTGATCTGGTTGAAACCGAAGGTTCCACTGCTGTTGAATTATACAATTTGTTAAAAGATTGCATAGTTTCTAAAGGTATTCCCTTAACAAATATGGTAGGATTTTCTTCTGACACCACCAATGCGATGGTGGGCGAACATAACTCTGTTTTTTCCCATTTAAAGAAAGATTTTCCGCACATACTTTGTGTAAAGTGCTCTTGCCACATGGCTCATCTAGCTGCATCCAAAGCATGTTTAAAGCTTCCCAAACATGTAGAAGATGTACTACGAAATATAGGGAGCCATTTTAATAGGAGCGCTTTACGCAGAAAGAAGTTTGAAGAATTTCAAATTTTTTTTCATGTCAAAATTCATAAAATTTTATCTCCCTCCATAACAAGGTGGCTATCAGTAAAAGCTTGCGTAGATAGGGTGCTTGAACAGTATCAACCTCTGATTTCATATTTTAGAGAACTAGTATTTGAAGATCCTTCATATACGACGGAAAGTATATTAGATACTTTAACTAATTCGTTCACAAAAATCTATTTTGAATTCATGTCATATGTTTTAGGGCTTATGACAGAATTTAATTTACTTTTTCAATCGGAAAAACCCTTACTTTATAAAGTAAAACCAGAAACTGAGAACCTACTAAAACATTTATGTTCAAATTTCATCGATATTTCATTTATAAAAAAGTCTACAGATATTTTTAAATTAAATCATCTTAATCCGACTAATTTTTTAGCATTACACAGTATTTATTTAGGTATTTCAGCCTCAGAAAGTTTAAATGAACTTAAACAAAATTCAAATGTACCTCAAAAAGATGTAGATACATTTTTAAAAAGTATTTTATCATTTTATGTAGAATTAGTATCCAATATTAAAGAGAGGTTTCAATTTACTGACCCTATTTATGATATTTTAAAAGTAGTAGATCCTTATGAAGCCCAATCGTTTAAAATTAAATCGCTTAACAACGTTTTATCAAGATTCCCTATTTTGAAAGAGTATGTAGATGCTCAGGAACTGGACAATGAATGGCAAAGACACGCTCTTTTGAATTTTGACATTTTGCAAATACCAGTTGATGAACCTGAGACATATTGGGCTAAAATATTCAATTTAAAGCACACAGCTAATGAACTGCTTTTTCCAAATTTAAAAAAAGTGTTTTCTTTACTTCTGGTTCTTCCTTTTTCAAATGCTAAGGTGGAACGCATTTTTAGTGACGTTTTCAACATTAAAACAGACAAAAGAAATCTGTTAAATACTCAAACGTTAAGAGCCATTTTGGCAACAAAGGAGGGTATTCAAAGTTGTGGAGGACCTGTTCACTTTAAACCATCCCAAAAAATGTTAGAATGCCAAATATGGAAAAAAAAATAGACTGAATGAATAGTACCTACTTATGATTAATTTTAGGAAATAATGTTTATTTGTTTTAGGAAAGAATATTTTTTTAGTTATCTCCAAAATATTTGAAGAATTTTTGTTTTTAGTTTGTTTTGTTCTTGAGTTACTTATGATTAATTTTAGGAAATAATGTTTATTTGTTTTGGGAAAGAATATTTATTTTATTTAGTTATCTCCAACATGTTTGAAGAATTTTTCTTTTTAGTTTGTACTTGAGTTTATTTTTGTAAACAATGTTCCTAAATATTTAAGTTCCTATAATAAATAATATACCTAAATCTGTCATTTATTTTCATTGTTTTTTCAAATAATTACCTATTACCTAAGCCCTTAAGCTTTGAGGTGAAGGAACAACGCAATATAGTTATCTATTTTTATCAACCTTCTCTCCAATACCGGCAATACCTTACCTTACCTACTTCTAATTTTTCTGGAGCACCCTTCTATTCAAATTTACTTCATGCATTATAGAAAACTATAAAGAACTATACCGATTTTTTGGCGCCACCTATGAAACGAGTCATGCAACATAATTTAATACATAAAAAAATTATTTAACCAGATGAAGAAAATTTTAAAAAAATTGTCACAGAAAAAAAAATCGCTTTGGGCGTCGCTGCAAAAAATAAAAATTCGCGGCGCATTTTTTTGGGAATATGACTTGGCAACACTGGGTAGCGGATAATACTGTCAAAAATCGGACTTTTTTCATAACGCAAGCGTATAATTAGAATTGACTCCTCCAACAACACTGCCGGTGACGTTCATAAGAGCTGCTTTCTTTCGGACCGGATCACCTGATCACAACGCGTTATGATTCAATAATCATGTTCTTTCGCATTTGTTAGTTTGACGTAAACGGATCATGATTCGAAAAACCCTGAACATACTGAACATTTTAATTTTGTGATTAGTTTGTTCCGATCTGGAAATTCTAACCTAATTTAATTTCAAACTGTCAAAACAAACAATACTTGTGCTTTTGTTTATCCTTGTTATTTTTATTTATTTAATTTAATTTGAAATAAAATCGGCGGCAATGAATAAGAATATGGCATCAAAATTTCTATATGCACCAGATAAAGTGAAACTGGAAATTTTTGATGCGGAAAAAGGAATAGTAATTTCGCTGTATGTAAGTCAGCAGGAATATGAGCATGCAATGGCAGGTAATTATATTATTTTACTATTATTATTTTGTTATTCTCATAGTATGTTGTACCTAACATCCGATAAATCGGGTATCTTCAGACTCCCCTTTTAAAATAAGATCCGAGAAACCGGAGAAACCCCAAACTTGTATCCTTGTCTTTTCACCAAAGCTGCTATTTTTTTAATGCGTAATAATATCCTTCAACAAAAGATACGAAATCGAGATGGAAATATGAAAAATTGAATGCATAGGAATAAAATTTGGGGTTTAACCACAGGATCCTTGAGAAAGTCAATCATCAATGTTTTTATGTATGTTTTCCAGATATGAATTATGCATATGATCTCCTGAATCAGTATGAAAATTGTTTTGCAAAGCAAACAGATGAAGTTCCAGAGAAGATTGAATATTCTCAACCAACAGAAGCAGCAAGTTGTAATAACTCAAGTTTAAGCGAGTGCCAGAATGAGGATGGATTTTGGTCTCAGGAAGAAACAAAATTGCTAATTAATTTGTATGGCCAGCACAAAGATGATTTCTCACATGCAAAAAAAAAAACATGTATGGGATATCATTGCAGAGAAAATGAACTCCTACAATTACAATGTAATTTTTTCTTGATTTTTATCGATCTTGGTATTAACTATTTTTGTTATTTTTAGAGATCTGCTTCAAAAATTGAGAGAAAATGGATTAATTTATTGAGAGTGTATAGATCCATTAAAGATAATAAAGGCCCAAAAAAAACTGGTAGAGGATCCCAAAATTATAAATTTTTTGATGACTTAGATGAAATTTTGGGTGACAAGCCATCAAATAACAATCGTCTTTGTGTAGAAGTTGGGATAAATAGGGATCCAACAAATATTGGAGAAGAAAATTCCAGTGTTGATGGTGACCATCCTTCAACCTCTCAGCACGCCTCAGAGTCGTATGTTCCTTCAGCATCAACTTCGACTGACAACATTACACCATCATCTTGTAAAAGGAAGAGAAAATTTAGTTCCGCAAGTCAGTCAGAACAATATCTGCTGGCAAAAATGAAAAGGCACGAAGAAAGGATGGCCATTGAAAAAGAAAAATTATTACTGGAGAGACAAAAAGTTGATTTATTGAAATTTTTTTTAGAAAATAAGGAAACAAAATTAAATTAACAAAACATATGTAAATATTTCCAGTTTTTTGTTGCAAGATTTGAATATTTATTTTATTGTGTTCATTTTATAATCTCCTAGAAGAGACTTAGATTTTTTTTTATTTCCATTGTAAAATCAGTATGTTACCTATGTTGTACCTACTTATTTTTTTTAGTTTTGTAAGGGAGACTGATATAAAGACTGTTTTGTTTGGGTTTAAATTTTTTATTGGTTAAACAAAATAAATTTATTAAAAAAAAGAATTATTCCTTATTATTTGTTGAAATATACATTAAATTTCTTCTTCAAACATTTCGTCTATTGTGTCATTGCTCATCAAACACATATTGTGGAGTACACAAGCTGCAACAATGCAGTTTACAATAAAAGTTGGTGTTAGGTTCTCAAAACATCTTAGTCTTCTAAATCGTCCCTTCAACAGGCCAAAGGCGTGTTCTATAATTATCCTCGTGGAAGAGTGCTTAAAATTGTATTGCCTTTGTTCTTCTGTAAGATGTCCATTATCCTTATATGGGGGTTTTAGCCATCATAAGGAGGGATATGCTGATTCGCCTAATAGATAGTATTTTTTATAGAACATAGAGTCATAATCTTCATTCGCCTTTCGATAAATTGAACTTTTTCGAAGTACCCTGGCGTCATGCACCGAACCAGCATCCCCAGCAAAAATATCAATGAATAACATTTTTGAATCAACAATTCCCTGAAGATTCATACTATGATAACCTTTGCGGTTCACAAAATCCTCTTCATGGTCTATTGGCCGACGAATCCTGATATGACTTCCGTCAATCGCACCAATTACTCCATCCAGGCCTTTTTTTGCTTTAAAGTTTTCAGACTCCACCAATGCCTCATTTTCTGAGGGCCATCGGATGAAATCTGGACTCTGGCTGACTAGAAATTGAGTCACAGTGGAAACGACATTGTGCACACAACTTAAAGTCATGTTAAACCTATCTGCTACCTGTCTAAACGTTTCCATGTTGGCAAGATACCATATAGTTATGTAAATAGATTTTTCAGCATTCACATGGTTCCATCCTCCTCTAAAGGGTTTAATGTGCGGACGATACAAATCTACAAGACAAATATAAAATATAATAAGATATGGGTAAAATAGAAAAACAATTTACAAAAGGATTCACCTATCAATTTTTTCGCTGTTTTTCTATTAAGCCGAAAATGTTCTTTAAACTCGACATCGGAATAGGCATTTATTGTTTCCAAATAATCAGTGATTCTGATTCGCTTTCTTCTTTCTGCGTTTATATTATCCTCGACGTCATAGTTATTTTCATCTTCGGATGAGGAAGAAGATTCTAGAAGAGGACTGATAGTGCGACATAATTCAGTCTAAAATAAAATTCAAATTAATTAATCAACTAAATCTACCAAATAAAACAATAAATTTTAGAAATAAATAGGTAGAGGAGAGGTATTATAGCATGAGGTATATACGAATTTGGTAAATTTCACTTACCACAACAAATTTTTCAAAGCTTTGCATTATTGTATAAATTCGGAAACAGGTACCTTGGTGAGTGTTGTTGTATATAAATCGCAAATCGCCGAACAGTTTGTTTATCAACAACAATAATTGGAATGTCACCTGTCACCTGACATTGTGACTCCGACTCGAGCGTTCTTTCGGAAGGGAAAATCGAAACATGTTCCGCTGAACATAGATTGTGATCTTGAAATCATGATTCAATTTTGTTGCGAAAGAAAACGGCTAAGGAGAGCATTTGTGCACATTTGTGTTCAGGCCCTTGTTGCTTTCGAAGTGAATTTTATAGTCTTTGGTGTTTCTACGTATTTTTTATTGGTTTTGGCCATTGTTGTTTTCATAGTGAATTTTATAGTCTTTAGTATTTCAACGTATTTTAGTGTTTTGACCCTATTGTTGTTTTCAAAGTGATATTTATAGTGTTCATAGTGTTTCTAAGTATTTTTTAATTTATTAATAAATTCTGAGATGAAGAGTGAATATTTTAAGGTATTATTATTAGGGGAAAATCGAGCCTGTGTTAGATCCTTTCTTTTAATTGAAGCAATCCATAAAACCCCGTGTTGCCAATGATTTAAAATAGCAGGAACTGAATAAAATTTCACATTTTTCCTGTTACCTCGACTTCCACACCCAATTATGATGCAAATCGCTGGCATTTTAATTAACACAATACCTAAACACACTAAAAAATACAAAATCCGATAATTCAAATCTGGACGTTTGTCCAAAATGTGACAGAATCAATGACATACAGAATAAACAACACAGTGCTTGACCCGGAGTGCGTTCAAAAACGGCAATGCTAATGCCAAAACCTACTATTCCCCTTCTACCGGCGATGCCAAATCTGGTGTGAATTTGCTGGAACGCCAAATACCGTTTCTCATATGCAATCCAAACAACGTGACATTCAATATGGCGTGGCGACCATACATGGACCAAAAAACACAAAAAATATCTAGTCTCTGATATTCAAAACTAACTTGCTGGCTGCCACGCCATATTGAATTAGGTCTCATCCAATCAAAATTCGTATAACCATTTCTAGACTCAGTTGAAAGAGCCTCCAAAAGTTACTTTACCGCGGCCGATTTGGAACGTGTAAAGCCAGCCGTTTTTGGCACGCTGGAGCCGACCTTGAACGCAATATGCCAATTTTGGCTCGGCTTTAGCCGTTTTTGAACGCAGCCCCGAACTTCCATATTGAATTTCGTTTTTGACAGGTCAGTAGATTGCCTAATTCATGTGGTAAAACCAAGTATGCATATAAGAGCCGTTTTACACGGCAAAGTTTCGTAAGTTTACTATTCTTAGGGCCGGTATTATAAAGCCCGGTTGACCGGAGGTTGAGTTTCAACCAGCGGTTGAACTAGGGTTGCCAACCGTCCTCCGGCCGGGAGGACAGTCCTCCTTTGAACCAAAATATCCTCCGTCCTCCGCAGCTACTGCGGAGGACGCAATTTGTCCTCCTTAGTCCTTTTCTCCACAATGTTCTAAAATCCCCAAAAAAAAAGGAAAATACTGTATAAAAAATCCTAATATTCTATTAACGGCACACAACTTGGCAACGCAGCAACATCGTGCTCCACTCGCCAGGACGCCAGTCGCCCCCGCCACGCAACGTAATCGGCTATGATGAGGGCTATTTCTATTTTCCGTTTGATTCGCGTCGAGCACGGGTAGTGTTTTTTGTTGTATGCATTTGCATTTTTCCGTATTTTCGCGCCCTCTGCTACATTGTCTACATTCACACAAACTTTAAAGAGTGCGTGTACGTACAAAAATCGATTATAGTTGGTTTGGTAAGTTAGGTAAGTATAGTTGTTTGACTTTTTATTTTCATGAAAATTGAAAAATTCTTTTTAATTTAAGTACGATTGGGTTCGTCAGGAACTAAAAATGTCGGAAAACTCTGATACTGACAACGAAAATGAAGGATCAAAACTAAATACACCACCTAAAAAAAAAGGAAAACGTATGCAAGCTTATAAAACATCATGGGAGACTTCTCGGTCGTGGTTAAAATGTATCAATGGGGATGCATACTGTAAAATTTGCAACAAATCTTTTACAGTTGCATATAAAGGCTTTTCAGCTGTTACTACTCATGAGATTTCAGATAGCCACAAAATCAAAATGCGAAGCAGTTCTTCGTCAACATTATTAACAAAATTTTTCTGTCAAAAAACATCTCCTGAAGAGCGCATTGTGACAGCGTTTGAAGTCGCTAATGTTTACCACTGCTGCAAACACAATTTATCGTACAACTCTTTGGATTGTGGGTTGAAATTATGTTGTAAAGCAGTTCCTGATTCCAAAATTATGCTAAAAATATCCTGTGGAAGAACGAAGGCTGAAGCTATAATTATAAATGTATTAGCGCCTAAAATGCTAGAAGACGTAATAGGAGTATTAAAAAATAAATCAGTATATTTTTCTATACAATTGGATGCCTCCAACCATAAAAATAGAAAAATGTTCCCATTGTGTGTCCAATATTACACTATAAAAGATGGTATTCAGAACAAAATTATCGACTTTTATGAAGACTCGAACGAGACGGCGGCAGGAATATTTCAAGCTATAATTTCCTCCCGACTGGATATTAATCAAGTATCAGCCTTTTCGGCGGATAATACAAATGCCAATTTTGGTAAAAATAATTCGGTATTCACTTATTTAAGAAGTGTGAATACAAATATAATAAAAGCTAACTGCCATGCGCATATATTACACAATTGCTTAAAACATGCTATAGAAAAACTACATATTGATGTTGAAGGCATTATTTTGAAATTTTATTCACATTTTTCCGTATCAGCAAAGCGAAGAGATGAACTGAAGGAGTTTCACGATTTTGTGGAAATTCAGTTTAGTGAGTTACTTCGGCACGTAGTTACCCGTTGGCTTTCACTTCTGCCATGTATCAACCGAATTCTAAAAAGTTGGCCTGCTCTTAAATCCTATTTTCAATCTTTAGGCGAAAATACACCAATAGCGCTCCAAAAAATACTAATTATGGACGAAAATTTCCAAATTTCAAATAAGGTTGAAATTTATCTTTTTTTCTGTAGTCATGTGTTGCCAATTTTTGATGAAACGATTTCAAAATTGGAGGCCAATGAAACCACCTGTATCGATCTTCACAAACATTTGAAAGACTTTAAGTCTAAAATTAAGTCTAGAAAAGACGAAAGGTTTTTTGGTTTTGAAGTTAGGAATATGATTAATCGTTATTTGGATCAGGATGAAAAAAGAAAAATAGAAAATAATTTTTTACTATTTTATGATAAAGTTCTTGACTACATTGAAAAGAATTTTGATTTTTCCGATGATAGCATATTGGCTAAGTTGGAAAATCTTTCTTTAGAACCAAATTCAGAGAAGTTTCCTTCTTTTACATTTTTTGTCAGTTTAGTAGAGGAATTAAATTTACGAGATAAAGTCAACCAGGATAAATTATTTGACGAAATTATGTTAGTTAAAGAATCTATTTTCAAAACAGATATTTGGCATGCTTACACAACTAGCCAAAAATGGTCATTTATTTTTCAAAACATATCAAATCTTGAAAATTTATTCGTAC